CCCTTTTCCCCATGTTAACTGTTTCAGATTGGTCGATTTCTCTCACTTCCTGTGGTCTCACCTCCGTTCTTAACTGTGAGTCATAAGTCGGATATTTGCAACTTGGGGACTGCCTGTACATCGATTTCAGTCATAGAGCTTTAAACAGTATGCTCAACAGGAGTCATAGTCAAAAAGGTACTGTACTAAAATATGATAAAATTGGACTAAGCTGCTACATTGGAATAGTTAACTGCAAATATATATATATACTATCAAAGTAGTACTATTTTTGGAAAGAAAGAGGTTTTGTAAAGGTTTACATTTTCAGCAGAGGAAAAACTAGTTTGGCTCTAGGGAGCCTATAAAACGTCTATGTTGACAACACTTGAAAAAACACTTGAAAAACTTCTCCCAAACCACAAGGGCAAAGTCTCTCATGATATGTAATCTCCATAAATCTGCATTGTATCAGTGAGAAGGAGATATATAAAATCTGGGCCACACAGAAGTATCCCTGAATAGTTTGTTGAATAAAATATGTTACAAGTTGTTTGAAACTAACAAGAGATTGCCTAAAATTTAACTGAGAACATTTGCTCTGTGCTACACTAAGGGCATTCTGTCCCTCTGTAGCAGACAACTGTTGAATGATTGGTCTGGCTCTAGTAGACCCTGGAGTTAGCAGGATAGAAGAAACATGTAGCTTAAATCAGACCCTCTGTATGTTTCCAAGCCAGGCTGTTATGATTAACATTGCTATCAGTGAGAGCAAGACTACTTAAAACAACTGAATGGCTGTGCAAACAAACTTTCTTGCAGCCACTTATATAATGAACCATATTTGGAAGCAGAGAGCTGATTACGTTTTATTTTTTTCATGGCATATTGATTATTTTGCTGTTGTTGTTTGGTGAGTTTCGTTAAATAAAAGGTATACTCCTCCCAGGCCAAATCCATATGAAGGCTGTGACAGGAAAATTCCCAAGCCAAAATGAAATGTAGGCTCAGCATATTTTCACAAATCGTAATTAGATCTTGCCAGAGATTCCTGGAGCTTACTTTAATAAATGTAAAACTTATGGGAAATTACCTACATCCATACAGAGTACCTCAGAACTGAAACTTAATCTAATGGAGCAGGTGGCATTCTTTTTCTTTCTTTCTTTTTTAACACCCCAAGGACAAATCCATTAAGTCAAGCTACATTAAGAAGAAATGAACTATTCTGCATCTACTTCATCCTATGCCTGCAGCCTCAGGAAGAAGTAGCTATGAGCACACTATTTTTATCCCACCCCATTAAATGCTGTATTTTAAAATTGTTGTTCAGTTCAGTCCTTTAGGTAATCTCAAGATACGATAAGAAAAGAAAGGCTCCAAGTTCAGTTTGATGACAGGATGGATAAGATAATTGATAGAAAGCCTTGAAAGTGAACTCAGCTAAGCTACCAAGTAACTAAAAGGCACTTGACAAAGGAGCAAAATTGCGCTGCCAAGTGTCTTCTGGTTAAAATCCATTCTGACTGTACACTTCTTTGTGTGTATGGAGCTACAAGATGGAAAACAAGAACATCCTTATATAATAGCCTTTGTATCATTACAGTACTCCATTTCTCAAAGACCTCACAGTAAGGATGAAATAATGATATGGAAATGGAAATTTTCTCTCTACTCCAACTGGACTCCTCTTATTTTTTATTATTTCCATGTGCAAAAAGTAAAAGCCAGCTCTGGTCCCTGAGATTTTTGGCATCCCCACTCTACACTTTGTCCAGCAAAAATGGATTTTTTTGGGGGGGGGGGGGCATTTTCATAGCACAGACATGTCAAACCCCGAAACCTGATTTTCACAGCAAAGAGAGTATGTGTAAGAAATTAATAACAAAGCTGAGTCTTTTGTATGCCTAAAATAACATCATTTTCATATTGTATAAATTACATTTTATATCTGATTTTATATACCGTATATATGTATTTTATGAAAAGTGACAGGGAAGCAGTGGATTCAAAAGACCTTTACAAATGCTGGTTTGCAAAATTGTGGTTCTCAACTTGTGGGTCCCCAGGTGTTTTGGCCTACAGGTTGAGAACCACTGCTCTAGGAAGTTGCCATTTCCAACATCCTGTGAGTGTAGGTAAGATGTTTTTACCAATTGTCCCCAACACACGTTGCACCCTCGTGGATGTCTCACCAACATAATCCCAGCCATGGTTACAACAATCCAGGGAAAGCAAATCCCATAAACAAAAAAATTAGAAAAAGTTGAATATTCATAAACAATAGATGTGAAAACCAGACTCTGTCAAAACTGAGAAGCAAGTCAGTAACTCAGACGACTACAAATAATTTATTTTCTGACATCTGTTTTAAACTCTCAATTAAAAACTAAAATTAAAATTTCCCTATTCTAATTAGGAGTGCAAATTTTGACATGTTGATGCAATGTAGAATTACTTCTGATGAAATGCATCTGTTAGTCTGCCAAAGACAAAATATTTAAAGTAACGAGAGAGACTCAGGAGAAGTTCAGGAAGTCAAGGCTCAGAAGATTGGAAATGACACTCCCTGGTCTTTAGAATCAAATGGGATAGTGTACAAAAGGTCTGGTAGTGTACAAAAGGTCTGGTTCCTATTTATTTCATGCATTGTTGTAAAAAAAAATCATACATTTTGGAAGGAGGTGTACACCAGCAAACTGCTGCTATTTTCCCTACTGGAAACACAAAAAGGGGCTTCCACTTTTTTTTGTAACAAATCACAATCTATTTTTTATGTGTTTTTATGGTTGAAAACCGGTCTGAGTCCCTCAAAGAGGTGAGAAGGTCGGTATATAAAACTTTGAAATAAATAAATATTTTTCATGTGTATGATTAAAAGGGCCTTTCGGTACTTTACTCAGAATAGGCACTGTTTTAACATAACAGAAGCACTGGCCCCTTTTACTCTCTTGGCACTCACCAAGGAGCTGCTACCAGTGCCATTTTCCTGTATAGTGGCCGAGAGAGTAGAGAGTGTTGGTGCTTCTTTTAGGTTCTGTGGGGATGAAGTGGGATCTTATCTTTTGCTATTCTATTCGCAGGAGGGAATGGCTTCTTCTTTTATAAGAGTTAAGATATAGGGCCCCTGCTGGTGCAGTGGGTTAAACCGCTGAGCTGTTGAACCGTTGGCTCTTTGAATCAGGGGAGCGGGATGACCTGCCACTTTTAGACCCAGCTTCTGCCAACCTAGCAGTTCGAAAGCATGCAAATGTGAGTAGATCAATAGGGACTGCTTTTATGGGAAAGTCACGGCACTGAATGACTTTGGAGGCGTTTATGGACAATGCCGCTCTTTGGCTTAGAAATGGAGATGAGTACCACCCCCCAGAGTCGACACAACTAGACTAAATAATATCTACACTGGCCCATGAGTAATTTTTGGGGGGAGGGTCAATATTTTGGCTATATTTTCTGGACTTATACAAGCATATAAACAATATTTGGTGATGTGCGAAATGGCTATTAGTAATCCAACTCCTGAGACAAGACAGATAATTGTGTTCTACACCAATTAAAACATTTTATCATCTACAAAAATAGTCCCGCTATCACAACACAGTTAAAATGTTACGAAAGAACTTTTCATTAAAAGTAAATATGAACAAAAATACTCTGCAAGTTAAGGACCAACTGGCAAAATGGACTCTTTCAGAAAATGGCTATTTTTGGTCCATTTCACAAGAAACTTGGAATGGTGGTTTAAAAACAACAATAGTTTCAACTATTTAAACTATGATTTCATTTAAAGTCTATGTAAAAGAATTGACAGCCATATGGGCAAAGATTATTAATAGTTACATATTTCTGGCAGGGCCATTTTAGTAAACATTCACTCACCAAGTTTCCACATCAGAACGTAACTTCCCCATCAGTTACATCAGTAACTTCTCCATCGGGACTGTAGCGCAGCTGGCTGGGAGTCAGCTGCATTAAGACCACTACTAACCGAAAGGTCATGAGGTCGAAGCCAGCCCCGATCGGAGTGAGCTCCCGACCAAAATTGTGCAGCTTGTTGTCGACCTTTGCAGCCCAAAAGACAGTTGCATATGTCAAGGAGGAAATTTAGGTACCACTTATGTGGGGAGGCAAATGTAACTAATTTACAAGGCCATAAAAAATCTCCAGGAAGTATGCAAAGAATGTGGAAAGTACTTCATCAGTGTCACAAACAGACAATGAAGTGACAGCTCCCCTGGTGGCCAGAAGCTGGAATGTTTAATTGCCACTGTGTCTGTCTATATATGCTGTGTGTCTATGGCATTGAATATTTGCCATGTATATGCACATTGTAATCTGCCCTGAGTCCCCTGTGGCGTGAGAAGGGCGGAATATAAATACTGTAAATAAATAAATACTTCTCACAGCAACTTCCAAGCCCTGGAAGAGGTTGCTGTTGTTTAGGTCTTACCAGTGGGTTGGGGAGGGAGGGAGCAGTGACCATGATCTAGCAATTTGACTTAGTGGAGGGGGGGGGGATAAGGATGTACATATGGATATATTGTACTCTTCATTTTCTTTTCCCTTATGTTCATTATCTGAATTGCCTCTTCCCGTCTTCACCTCCAAACAGTAGGAGGCATCAGGTCCTTTTGGAACTTAAGAGCTGCCAGAGGGAGAGGTTTTGGGACATAAAGCAGTAATACATGGAAAATCCTCTGTGCACCATCCAAAAAGGGATATACATGGATGTAAATAGCATATGCATGCACACATACCACTAACAGGATACTGGCATTAACTCTTTAGGCTTGTTTAACCATCCTAAATCCTCCATCAAAAGTTTAGACAATGAGAGATATCTACGAAGCCACAATTCAAATTTTGAAAATGCCATTCTTGAGACAATAAATATTCTTCTAAAAAGCATTGAAACACATTATAGTCAGAGCCAAGTGATGTACTTCTGCTCGATTCCATGGCACTCGATGGTGAGATACATGACTGGATCTTGGCCTAGAATACCATAAACAATATATTACCTGAACTGTAGAGCTAATTTCAGATGCAAAACCTCCTGTAACAGGGGCTTCATGACTGATCAGCAACCGTCCTGTCTTGGTAACAGACTGTAAAAAAAATTAAACAGAATAAGCAAATACTTTTTTCAACTAGAACATACAAAAAATGCAAAATTAGGAGCAAAACTAGATCACTACTGTTGAACTTTGTATCTGTAGACTATCTCACCACAAATTTGAGCTCCAACTATCAGTGACTACAAATGCAGACAGTTACAATTCATTAAATTAAAGGAACTATTATGAACCTAAAATTCCATGTTTTTTTTTTTTTTTTAAGAAATCGTTGCAAGATGCTCTGAGGGTCTTTGTAGTTGTAGGGTGAGGTATAAATATTGTTCACACACGCACACGTATTTCCTTCTCCCATAAAAAACAGCATATTAAATCTCTCAGAATCAACCATTAGCCAATTATCTTGTGAGTTTTCCCAGTTTTTCCCAAGGCTACAATAACTTAGTTTACAGTCTTCATTATGGTGCAAGAACTACTACTGACAAGCTCACAGCCAGCTACTGACATTTTAGTCATAGCTCTAAGTTTCAGGTTGCTTCAAGAATCTCCCTTCCCCCCTACAGAGAACATCTCAAACAGTTATTTCAAATGACTTTCAGCCTTTGCTTCCAGCTCTCCCACATATTTCAGCTTCTGATATTATTTGAACTATAACATCTATTTCTCCCCTTTCTGTCTCTTTGACTCCATGTCCCATAACTACCCAAATACATTTGCCTGAGTGGAATTTCAACTTAACACTGTCCGATCAATCATTTACCAGTGTACAATTCTCCCAATTGTTGCAAATGCAGGACCAATAAAAAGTTATGTAATATCCTCATCCAACCAGAATTTATTGCTTTTAAACAACATCTCCATCTGCAAGTCCAGAATAAAAGAAGGAGTTTTATCTTACTTTTATTACTTGTTTTAACACAGAACCCATCAGCACATTTCACTTCTACCCCAAGGAACAATGATTTTTATGAGTGCACACCGCGCAGAAAACATTTATATATGCAATGGTCACACTCTTTAATTTTAAAACACATGCAATATTTTATCTGGAGTAAAATACCAGCAATTTGGTGGTTAAGTCAAACTTTCTAAACGATTAAAATAAGACTGTGGCTATCACAGTTGTGTATTCAACATTTTATCAAATTTATTTATTTATTTACCTTACTTATATACCGCTGTTCTCAGCCTGAAGGCGACTCACAGCGGTTCACAACAAATACGAACAGCAAAAATTCAGTGCTACAGTATAGAAACAGTTAACAACCTAACACATTACACAATTAATAAACAGTTACTACAATACCCATTCACTCCACCATTCTATATAGTATGTTATACTTATTTCATTCAAAATGTACTGTATTTAAAGGAACACATCGTTAATATAGTGCTACAACTTAAGATCCTGGAACAAGTAGAGACAACTCACTCAGAAAGCAACAACAAATCAGTAACTATTCTAAACCTTTTCTGTGGAAGCAAGTAGAGTATACAAAATACAGCTACTCAAAATGCATTTTATACCATGCAGATTGGCACTATGTACTGTATATACTCTAGTATAAGCCTAGTTTTTCAGCCCTTTTTTAGGCTGAAAAAGTCACCCTCGGCTTATACTAATGTCAAGGTTGTTTATTATTTTACTCTGTTATTATTATTTTTATTATATTTATCATTTTACTCCATTATTATTATTACATTTATTATTTTACTCTATTTATTACTGTTATTATTACTTCTCCATTATTTTACTCTATTATTATTACATTTCTTATTTTACTCTATTACTATTGGAAGGATACATAAGCACATTTACATTAAAGGAGGTTAGAATAATGGCTTGATCAAAGTTGGGCAGTCTTATCTTAAATTACAGTTTTATGTAATTATTCAAAAACATTTAACCTACTGATGTCTCAATTAGTGTAATTGTATTGGTATCTATTTTTATTTTGAAATTTACCAGTAGCTGCCGCATTTCCCACCCTCAGCTTATGTTCAAGTCAATCCGTTTTTCCCACTTTTTTGTGGTAAAATTAGGTGCCTCGGCTTATAGTCAGGTCGGCTTATACTCAAGTAGTTCAAAAGTTTTACATCTTTTGTGAGGTCACAAAAGACTTAACAAGTCACCCTTTAAGATGCACTAGTTACCTATTCACTCTTTCAACTCTATACCAGAAGATTCATAGACCAAAAAAACTACTTTGGTTCATTTCTAACAGAAGCTTATTAAAATCAAAAGACTCAGCAAAATAAATCTACCTCAAATGCATTTTGTAATCATGAAGGTTTATTTGACTTACTCGCCATGGTGATTTGCTACACTACACAATTTAATTATACATAACATCACATGGTTCTATTTTTCTTTAGCCACAAGCCAGCTTTTTAAAGGACTGTATAGATACTTAGAGGGTATAAAGCAACCTTCGAAGTACTATAATTAATCACAAATTATTTTCAAAGGATTACTTTGGCATATGAAAACCATTTCATCCAAAATAATCTGCCTTTCACTAATAATACATTAATAACCTGTCATACAATAAATGCTTACCAGAATTAAAAGCCATAAAGATCAATCGTATTTCCTTCCTGTTAAGTATATACAAGACTGAACCCACTGCCCTTCACAATGAACCACATCTATAGTTATTCTGGTGTATATACTGTCTGACTTCACTATCCATATTCACTGTCTGAGTTCTTACACTTGAGAATTATTTAGACATATGTGCATCATTCTTAAGTGTAAATAACACTGAAAACACAGGCACATACTTTTGCAGAAACATGCTTAGAATTGCATTGTGTATTAGGGAAAAAATGTCCTTTCAGCTATGAAGCAGCAAGATAAATAGAAAAGGTAATAAAAATAAAAAGGATCATTGTTACTCTGCATATTTATAAGGGACCAACTTCTTCTAATTCTAGAAAAATGTTTCAGACACATAAAAAAGAAAGTAAGATAGATAGAAAGAAGAATTTTTAAACTGCCGAGAACTTCCTGTTCCAGACCATTCTCTGAATACAGCCTGCAAACATGGCGACAAATGCAGTGACACTGCCATAGTCTCCAGATGGCCTTCTCACTATCAATATCTTATGAAAAAACACTACGTAAAATCAAATTAGTGAATAGAAAACAGCATTCTCCAACCCAGCACCCTCCAGATATTTTGGGCTACAGTCGTTATTTTTCCTGAAAACTGGTCATGTAGGGAAGGACTTATGTGAATCAAAATTAAAAAAATCTAAAGGAGGTCAAGTAAATTAAGACATGCTCTTTAAAGTACAATTAGTACAGCAGAGCCAAAACTCAGTTTAACCTCCAGTGGCCTCTAGTGGTGAAGAATTATTATAATAATTACACCTAAACTTTCAGATTATGCAATCAATCACATGACTCATTTTGCTAGTTGTTTCTGAAATCAATGGAATACATCTAGATGTGAATATATGTAGAATAAAAAGACAATTGTTATTTTTCCCTACATTAAGTCCTATTTCTCCACTGTGTCATACCACAAATATGGCCTTGGATTCTCAAATGCAAACCAGAAAAATTTAAACATTTACAAGTTGCCAAAGCTTTTGTACAGGTAACAATCTGCATCTAGGATCAGTCAAATTACCAATACACTCATGTATATGTCTAGAAATTGTAGACAAAAAATTAACCCCAAAAACGTCGGTTCACTTATCAATGTACCTTAACTCATTAAAAAAAAAAAAAAGAACCAACCATCTCTTTTTCTGAGTAGTGTGGTCAAAGGCAAGATCTATTAAGTCTGTCCTGGAATAACCTAAAAAAAAACTCTGACCACACCACCCCCTACTCTCCACATTGCGGCACCACCTCTGGCCTTTTTGAATGCCTGAGTGCGGAAATGGCAATAGCCAAGAGGCAGCTGCCCTCTGAGGCAGCATTGGTGTTTTCCCCCTCTCCAAGGAATGTGTCTTGACTTATCCATGTGTCATATCAAAATTCATTAATTTGAAACTCCTAAACCTGCCCTCAAGTTATACATAAAGCCAATTTATAGAAGAATATATATAGTAAGTATAGAGCAGTTCACTGCTGCCTGCTCTGTTGAAATCATCAGTCTTCCAAGTGATCATTCACCCTGTGTAAAATACAGAGAAATGAAGCAATAAGCAGAATTGTTCAAGAGCAGTCCCTCGATTGTGGAAGACATATCTAAGAGCCCTATCCACTTGCCATCTTTATTTACTCCTTTGAGTTCACTAAATATTAAATGTTTTCCATTGTAAACTGTCTTATGCAGAATAATTGTCAATCTAGTTCTGACTGGTGAAATGTAAACTAATACTACATAGTCAAGTACGATTGCATTCTTTAAAGTTATATGAATTCACCTTGCATACAGTCTCTGCATCCCAAGGAATAATTGTCTTCAAATCAATTACTTCACAGGAAACACCAAGCTTCTCCTGAGCCATAACTGCTACCTCTTTGATTACATGAACCTACATATTATGGAAAATGGGACAAGCAAAGGGTATTCATATTATGTAACTGTAAAAGCTTTTAATTTTATCAAATGTTGGAGGGTTCAAATCTGAATAAACTGTCAGAAATAATAATAATAATAATAATAATAATAATAATAATAATAATAATAATAATAATAAACTTTATTTCTAGACCTCCCTTTCTCCCTGAAGGGACTTAGGGCAGTTTACACATACAAAATGGCATGCAGTCAATGACACAGATAAGTAGAAATATATTTAAAAAAATACACAATAAAGCAACAGTAATAACAGTGAGCTTACAACAAAGAATTAAGCATTGTGATGAAAAAATAAAACAATACAATCCAATAAGACATAGTGAACTAAAACATAAGTAAAAATTAGAAAGATCTCCATGTTTGACAGCTTTACTTCACCCATTTAAGCAAGACTCTCCCCAAAGCCCTCTTAACAAAAGGATGAGGAAAAGCATGATGGGATTGAGTGTACTCCTTGACAAAGCTGTAAACATTCTGCTCAATACATTCCCCTTTTTCCAAACTAGTAGGAGATTGGCTGCTTAGTGATGGTGCCAAAGACCTCAATCAGCTCATATCAACCCTTCAAAAAATTTCCCACTGGAACTCAAATTGAATGAGGTTTTACTGTTGGCATCTACTATATGATAAGGTCATATATAAATTCAAGCAATTAAAACACATATATATGTATGTATGTGCATGCATATGTGGATGTTTGTGTGTGTAAACACACACATTAATGAATTAATTAATGTCGAGGCTTCTTCTGTTGCCGAAACCCTAAACTTAGAGCAAAATGCTATAGTGCCTACTAGGGTGAATTCAAGGAAATTTATATATGTGTTTCAACTTTGACTTTATATTTAGTAACTGATGCAAAGGGTCTACTCTACTCAGGATTACAAACTGGTTTTAAATTGGATTATGAAAACTGTTGGCCTTATTACATAAAGTCCTGCTGAAATAATGTGAAAAGTAAATAATGAGTGAAAAGTTAATTTAAGTCTCGATTATTTCAATGGAAACTGAAACTAATTTCCAACCCTGTCTATTTTACTTTTCCAGTTTTAATCCCCATCGCTGTTGTTGAAAAGAACGCTGCCAGGAAATATTCTTAATATTTATTTCAAAACTTACCAGTATCTCACAACTTTTACTGACCTGAGTACCCCAAGCCACCAGTGTGACATCACTTCCACTCTGAAGTACTTCTGCTTGAGAAAGCGGAATATAGTATGGTTCCACTGGGACTTGCTCCACTGAACAAATGGAAAGCAAAGTAATTTAGATCCTCTAAATGTAAAACATTTAAACATACAGGTAACTAAACTCATGAAACAACATCTTATCAACCTTTGGTAAATGTGATACAAATTCTAGATTTTCTACATACAGCCTGCTAGACCCATTTTTCATTCTACGCATTTTTCAGAACAAGAATTTTATTTGCCACTGAAGTAGGAAAACATCTGAACCCTGGTTACAAACAACTCGTTTTTCCATCTTACCTGCTATGTCACTATAACAACCAATGATGCAAGTCATTTATTTCTACACTGCTCATGTCGTATGTGGCAGAATTACATTAAACTGAAAAGGTCATGAGGCATAAGAATAGATTCACTATGAGATACTTAAACCATGATAATGTCAAGATGACTGTTTTTTCCCCTCAATACTGCCACTATGTACTATTGACACAGCACGACAATACCAATTAAAAAATATAATCAAACACCTTTATTTAAATGTGCATGTTTTCTAAAAGCAGTTTTCCTTTGAATAAGGTCACAGTGGCGGCATTCTACATTTAAATTATGAAAATCATCACAACATATATCACATTGCTTATTCCCAGATTCACAAGTCTCACTCTTCAACCATTACCATCCTTTTGCAATTCAAGGATACTAATGTGTATTTTACTATGAATATTAATGATACACATGGTCCAGAATGTGTAGATAGGATTCAGATCAGTCAAAACTTAAGCCCTATTAAGTCTAGAACCAATTACTTATTTTCTTCGGTTCTGTTCCATTATTGGGGCGGAAGCCACTAGGGGGCACTAGAGAGTGAGGGACAGTCCATTTTATGGGAATGGGGGATGGGTTGAAGGAGGGAAACCATTTCCTCCTCTTTTCCTGCTATTCCCCCCACCCATGTCCCCATTGTGGAAACAACCCTCGTTTATGATATGGGAAGTGGGGAAAGAAAATAACCAGTGAAAACGGAGAAAATGGTTTTCCTCCTTCAACTCCCCCCTCCTGTAAAATGGCCTATCCTTCTCTCGAGTGCCCCCTAGTGGCCTCCGCCCCAATAATGAATCAGTACCTTTTCTTCTCTCGAATGTTTCCAGTACAGGAAAACATGGCACTACAACAGTGCGGAAGATCCATATGTTTTTTCTTTGTAGTGAACATTCATTATATAAGGAAAACCAGCTGGACAATGGGAAGCCCAATGTTGTCATTATGGGATTGACATCAACTAGCAAAAGTAATCTAGTACATACTGCCAGGTGTGCAGAAGTCAGTTTGTTATTGGAGAGATGGGTAAAGGATTAAATCCATCTATATGGACCTGACCACACACCAGTATCTTCCTTCAAGGTTTGCTGTATATTTCACTACCAAAAACACAATGCTTCCCACAATGTCGGGGGAAGATAAGACAGGATTGCAGCATTCTAATCTTCATTTCAGAGAGATAAGTCTCATTGCATTACCATTTAATTTCAGGCAGATAGATAAAAACATTTTAATACAGCTTTTACTTTTTTAAAAAGAAAGGAATGGTTCAGTTTCAGTCCCTTAATATTCAGGTATGTTTGCTCTGCTTTTAATACTATGCATTGTAAAAATGTGGTTTTAATAGTTTTTATATATCAATATGTATGAATAGTGAAAGGCAGCTTATAAATACTTTTATATATACATGAAAGTATAACACCAGTGTATCTAAAATTCCCTTTACTAGAAACATAAAACTCTTCCACCTCTATGGCCAGTTTATCTCTCCATAAACTCTGTTTGGCCAATCTTAAAACCTCCCAAATAAAACAGTGAAATAATCCTCAATCTGAAATCATATACTTACTGGTGGCATTTTACATTCCTATTTTACCAAAACAAAGTCCTATTGTTTTAATTGCATTTATCATGAGCTCAGTTTAAATATAGCTTGCCATGTATACATTGGCACACAAAATCATCGTTTAATATATTTATAAAATGTCAAGTCTCAAAAGAAGGCAAGGGCAAACTGCCTCTAAACAAAGATTACCAAGAAAAGCCTATGGTTAGTTAACTTTACTATAGCATTAAGACAGAAATTATTTAAAGACAAATGACAACAAAAATTCAGAAGACTAGCATCTTCTATAACAGGGGTCCTCAAACTAAGGCCCGGGGGCCGGATGCGGCCCTTCAAGGTCATTTACCAGGCCCTCGCTCAGGGTTTACCTAAGTCTGAAACGACTTGAAAGCACATAACAACAACAATCCTATCTCATCAGCCCACACTTCTCATTAAAATACTACTAAGTTTATATTTGTTAAAATTGTTCTTCATTTTAATTATTGTATTGTTTTTAAATGTCTTTTGCACTACAAATAAGATATGTGCAGTGTGCACTGGAATTCATTCATGTTTTTTCAAATTACAATCCGGCCTGCCAACAGTTTGAGGGACTGTGACCTGGCCCTCTGTTTAAAAAGTTTGAAGACCCCTGTTCTATAAAGTCATCTCAATTTTTGTATGTCAAGCAATGTACAGTTTAACGAACTGAAACACTCCCAAATGGAGCATTAACACAATCTGACCATCCAAAGCATCACTGAAGCCAATTGATTTAATTTCAAAGAAATATAGGATTACAGGGTAAATTACAACGTCCTTAATATCAAAGCAAATGTTGGAAAACTATTATTGAAGAGTAACTGAAAGCAAAAGGATTGTAAGCAAAATTAAAGTATACTTTATATGTAAACATTAAACATTTTACATTGTGTGGAAACACATTTTACCTGCTGCTCTGTATAGTATCTTTGGTTCAAAAAATATGCAAGGGTTTTTATCTTCTATGCATGATAGTAAAAGGCCTTTTGCTTCAATAGGACCTCTTGGAACAACAACCTGAAAAAAGGAAATGGATTAATGGCCAAAGCAAAAGAAATTCTCAAGCAGCACTATTTCAGTAATATTCTTATACTTGTAACCCAACTGTGAAAAATTATCATTACTGAGGCACCAAAATTAACACAAAAACATGGCATAGCCCACAAATCTACATCGGGGCCATTGTAAGAATTTTTAGAGAGCGAGAGAGAGGGAGGGAACAAACTTACATATCTCCTAAAAATGGATGATGGCAAACACTATATTTGTAAATATAAAAGTCAAATTATGTATCTTGGTTGTTTGGTATGTTCGATTCACAAGGAATTGGACCAAACTTGGACCAAAATATTCTTCATGCCCAAACTTAAAATAATTGTAAGCCTTCAACTATAAGATCTATCCTGTTTTGGAACGAGAGCCCCCAAAAGTTGTTTTTAAATGTATGTAGTGCTAGGATGAAACCAGAAGAGGGTAGCATACAGATAGAAATTATTAGCATTTGGCCTATATGTATGAAGCGTTCAGATGAAAACACAAGGGAGAAGTACATAGATAGAAAGAATTCTTTACAATGTCAGCTACCCCATAAGGCTCTAAAGGCCAAAGTCAGGACATCGACCCCACAAGGAAGTAAGACATTTAAGAGCCAAAAAACTTTTCAATCCAAATATGCTTTACTTCAGTAGCTGGAGGAATTAATGTGGGAGTAGGTTTTACAGGTAAAATGATGATTTGGTTAACATAGAAACAGAACCTCAAAACCAAGCACTGAAACACGCAATACTATGTTGTAACAATCATCCAAAAGCAATTAATTTAAAACAGCTTGAATTCACTCAACAAAGTAATATTCTGAACCTAAGATGTATTCACATGTTCTGTACTGCTTGCTCCATTACTTGACAACATTACCTGAATGCTTCCATTGATTGAAATTTGATGTATGTCCCTAGTTTAACATCAGTACTGAGTCCCCTTCGGGGTGAGAAGGACGGCATATAAATGTCATAAATAAATAAATGAAATAAATACTTTTGGAATGGCACTATCTTGCATTACCACAATTCTTTTAGATCATGGTCAACTAGTCTTTGATATTGCTGATTAATGGCATCACACATGACTTTGATCTTCAGAGCACTACTATGGATTACACAGTCCAATGAAGCAACACTCCTCTTGGTGTCTTTAGTTTTTAGGCCTGTTCCTGGGGTTATTTGAGATGTCAATTCAGAAATTGCATAGACCACATCAGCTCTAGTTTCTTAGATATGGTTATCATGATTTTCCATGATGACTGATATATGGCATTTGTTCTGTATCATAAAAACTAGAGCTGATAGGAGAAAACTGGCACTATTTCTGAAATCAACAGATCAAATATACAGACAGTCCCCAATTTACAAACATCTGACTTACAAACAACTCATAGATAAGAACAGGGGTGAGGCAACAAGAAATGAGAAAAATCTAACCCTCAAAAGGGAAATTCACTCCTGGAAGAGTTATTAACATGGGAGAAAGATCTATGCACAAGTTAATGTAATAATGTCTTAAGTCACAATGGAAAAATATATATAAGAAAGGTAAATAGCCACAACAATATGGTAAAATCCTTTCTGTACCTTTAGTCCTGGACAGTGAGCGAAAAAGGCTTCTGGGCTCTGGGAATGATATAAAGCACCATGCCCCACACAACCCCAAGGTGCTCTTATCGTCAGACTTCCACAATTAAAGAGATCTCCAGAGCGATAGCGATACTTTGCAGCCTCATTAACAATCTGAAGAAAAAAATGTGTTTGCATGTAAGTGCGTGTGCATACCAACATACACATAATATGAGGAAGTTGCTGAATCGTAAAATACACATTATATTTTATATACTTTCCCCTATATCAGGTTTTCAGTTTATGTTCAAAAATCCAAAATAAAGCAGAAACAAAACACTCCAAATAGTATGAATAAGGAGAATGTCCAGTATTAAATGAAAAAAGGCATCTGGCATAATATCTTTCCCATCGGAGGGGACAAGACAGCCATTTTTAAATATCTGAAAGAATACTACATTGAGAAGGCAAGCTTGTTTTCTGCTACCCAGGAGGCAAGGACACGGAACAATGGATTCAAATTAAAGCAAAAAAGATTCCACCAAGACATTAGGAAGAACTTTCTGATACAGTTAGTCCTGTTCAACAGTGGAATCTGCTGCCTTGGAGTGCAGTGGTTTAAAGCAACAGCTGGATGGACATCTATTAGGGATGCTTTGATTGTTTTTTTTTCTCCAATGCAGAGGTTGGACTGGATGGCCCTTGGGGTCTCTTCTGACTATGATATGATTCATTCGTCAGAGGGTTGGGAAACTGGGAGGCATTATATTTTGAATTTGTATCTTGCACCATTCACATGGGATTAACAATTGGGTGATCTAATCCATTCGCCCAATTTCACCAAGGGAACCTTCACATTCCTAGAAGTAACAAGTAAACCCAAATGCAACCCTATCTTTATTTTACAATTATTTTCATAATAAACAAGAATTCTTACATTGATGGACTTATACCATTTGATTTGTGAAAGTAGCATACATTCTTTTAGCATATTAGAAGCAGTAGCAACAATCACAAACATCAGTATGCAAAATTCCTCACAGTTCTGGCAGTTTTACATTTCTTGAAGTCAGTTTCACTGCTGTATGTGTTCGATCTCATCTGTAACCAGTTTCATTACTTTACAGCAATGATTTTCAGCCTGTGGGTCCCCGGATGTTTTGGCCAACAACTCCCAGAAATCCCAGCCACTTTACCAGCTGTAAGGATTTCTGGGAGTTGAAGGCTAAAACATCTGAGGACCCACAGGTTGAGAACCACTGCTTTACAGGAAATCAGCTTGAGAGCACTGATTTTTCCCCTCATCTTCAACATTCTAAAATATACACTAACCTGATCAAAGGCTGGAAATATGTAGTCAGCAAACTGGATTTCAGCAATGGCAGTAGCACCAGCGACAGCAACTCCAATGCCAAATCCTACAATTCCTTGTTCACACAAGGGAGTATTGAAGATTCTATCTTTACCTACAAAAAATACATATTTTAATGATAACAAGTACATTGGCATCGAATAGCTGCCTGTATGGTAAAACCACCTTGAGTCACTTTCGGGTTTGAGAATCGGGGCAGAAATATCATAAATAAATAAATAAATACAGGGTTTGCGAGGTGGTGTTATATGAATTACTTCTAAGTTAGAAATAATGAGTAAAGAGTAAAATATTTATAAATTAAGCTTTGAAGTTTAAAATACATGCATAAGTTTTCCCTTATGATGTAATACAAGTAAAACAGGTGGGCTCAAAACACCTCCATATCCTTTTTTTCCCAATTTTGGATAGATGAACATGTCAATATCTATTGTGTTCTACTTGCTTATCAGATGTAAGACTGTTTATCATTCCCAGTTATTGTCATAGGCCCAGAATGAAACAATCTGTATTCTGCTTCAATAGCTTACATCTATGACAAGTAAAAAAAATATAAGTCTGAAACAGAATAGTTCACTTTTAAACTTCACTTTTAGATACTAAAATGGAGCCATACTTTCATAAAGAACAACTTCTTAAACAAAGTTTTATCATGTAAAGGGGCTCAAGCAGGAAAAGAGGAACCTGTACAGCAAATTGATAAATGATTCATCCCACACTGTAAACTCACCGTATTTGTCTCTCAAGCCAACAGTGCATCTGAAGACTCCACCAAAGGACACATCTTCTCCAAATATTACTGCAGGTACACAGTAAGTACACAATAAGGAATTAAATAAATACTTGCTCAGATACGGGTTAATAGACAAGGAGAATGGGAATATTTACAAAAATTGACAAGAGGAAGAAATGTCAAATTCAGTTTTACAGGTTTACCATATTTGTCAGAAGCCAAGATAAACTTTATACTTTCCTCCGCAAAATCTATGTGATTTTTGTATGTGTAAGCCACTACAGCCTGCTTCAAAGAGAAACAGTTTTCAAGGACAGCAACAAGATTCAATGCAGAAAGACAATTCTCATCTAAAATTTCTGCCTTTTACCAGTTTTACCCAAACACCAACAAATTCCTCCACTTGTGATAAAAGAAAGAGAAAGCCAGGATGCTTCACATTTAAGAGTGTGTAATCAACAGATAAGGCCTCTAAGCTAGATATCTCCAAAGTAAATATATATATACCTGCAGTAGGATCTCTGGATAAGGCATTATCCAAGGCACTTGTTATAGATTGGAAAAGGTTCATTTTCTGTGTCTGGCCTGTACAGGGAGAAGATGTAAAGAAACCAAATCGTTTAGGAACATAATACCAGATGCTTTCAGTATTGGCACCCGCCAAATCAACATGGTCCATCTGGAAATCAACAGATTTTGGGACTTCCTGAGACCATACTGAAAATTATTCTCTACTAGATCTTGGCTCTCACCACTAATCAAGCAACCCATTACAACTGCAATTTCTGGGAAGTTCAAATTCAGTATTCTGATTTGGGCACATAACACTATGTAACAAAATTTGGGAAAAAAATCTGTTCCTGGATTGAAAGTGTTATTTCCTGTTTAATTGTGTGGTACTTACTTTGAAAGTAGTTATTTGTAGCTCACTGTTTTTGTGCCTGCCACAAACAATGTTGACTTGGTTGAGACTCTATGAGATATTCATTGAAAAACTGTAACAAAATGTTTTGCAGGATGTCTTCCCAAAACCAAAGTTTTTGTAGTTTAATAAACTCTCTCCATGTTTTTATGATAGGAAATGACATTTATAATCCATATGGATTGTGAAACAGAAGTGGGTCATTTCCTTTTGTGATGAGCAATGAAAATACAGATCTGTTCAACAGCAGAATAAATAACCTTGGAAAGCTGGACTCTCCTTCTTTGGAAACAGAGGTTGGATGGGCATCTTTTAGAAGTGTTGTGATTCTGCATTCCTGCAAGGCAGTGTGTTGGACTAGATGTCCCTTGTGATCCCTTCCAACTCTATGATTCAAAGCACTACAATCTCTCTATTCATACAATCATTGCCATGCTCAAAATATGAACTCTGATATTAGTCCAAATCTGGGCCACGTACTTCTGCCTCTTTCGTTACAAGTGCCGAGGAACAGTATTTCCCCCAGCAGCCCAATTCAGGGCTACAATGCAAGGCAGGTGGGACTTTAATCCAGGCTATACACTCATCTAAGGCCCTTTGACATTATTTTATGTATTCATTTAATTTATATCCTGCCTTTCTCCCACAATGGGATCCAAGATATCAGTAGCTGTACTATTCCAGTTTTAACTGTCATGGCAATGTTACATGGAGTGTTAGGCTTTCTGGTTTGCTGGCTGAGGATTGAAGCTGGTCCTCTGTATCCACAGATTCATTCTGTATCTGGGTATTCATTCATCTGTGGTATAAAAATATAACAGCCAAAACCTTAAAATCAAATGCCGATTTTCCCATTTTCTATTGTGTATAATGGGTCTTGAGCCTCCACGAACTTTTGTATCCATGGGCACCAAACCACCAGATACACCCATTTTTAAGGTAAAAATGTCCCCTTGGCATTAAGTCTAGTCGTGTCCGACTTTGAGGGGTGGTGCTTATCTCAATTTCTAAGCCGAAGAGCCAGCGTTGTCCATGGACATCTCCAAGGTCATGTGGTTAGCATGACTGCATGGAGTGCCATTACCTTCCCGCAGAAGTGGTACCTATTGATCTACTCACATTTGTATTTTTTCAAACTGCTAGTTTGGCAGAAGCTGGGAATAACAGTTGGAGCTCACCCCACTCCCCAGATTCAAACCATTGACCTTTCAGTCAGCAAATTCAGCAGCTTAGTGTTTTAACCTGCTGAGTCACCAAAGGGATTCAAAACCCATTTTAGCCCTCCCTAAACTGCACATCTCAGGACTTTACATGATGTTGTTGTGGCAGTTAAAGTGGAATCATGGTGATATCACAAATGTGCTGTGTGAACGCCATCATAACGTAGATCTACACTTAAGTAATAATGTAGTTTGACATAATGTCTGAATGCTGTGAAATCCTGGGATTTGAAGTTTGGTGAGGCACCAGCAGTCTTAGGCAGAGAAGCCTCAATACTTTACAAAAGAACAACTTCCTGGAGTCCATAGTACTGAGCCACGACGGTGGAAGTGGTGCCAAACAGCGTTAATTCTACAATGGAGATGCAACCATAGCTTCAGCCTCTCTCCCCTGCATCAACTAGAGGTGAACTGAGGCTGGCTCCACGTGCTCAGCAGGGTCAGTGGAAAGGACTATACCATTTTGGGCAATGGCGGGAGGAGGGGGAAATATTCAGTGCTGCTTCAAATTCAATAAAATAAAATATTCAACACTCCCTCAAATTAAGCAAAAGTCTCCTCATTAACACAAAGCGCCCGTGGCTGGGAGGAAAACTTTAATTTTGTCCCTAGGAAGGAGGGGTTGTCCTTCCAATTAAGACTCCCCCTGCGCCCGGAATGGTATGGTCCATTCCTCCGCCTCAAGAGTTCCAATGCCTCAGCCCGGAAGATACCATGCAGGGGAAAAGGGGGGAGGGCAGAGTGAGACTGCGGTGTCTTCCCGCCCTATGTCAGCAAGGAGGAGCGAGCCTATCTCACCATACTGGGTAGGTTCCGGGTCCGGCTGGAAAGTGAAATGCGCCGCGTGCCTGCGGGGCGGAGTCTGCGCGATGAAGCGCAGGTGAAGGGGCGAAGCAACCGCCGCTGCCACCCGACGCAGCGCGAGCCCGGCAACGGCCATGTCGGCCCCTCAAGGAGGACCCTGCCTGCCCCACGCGCTGCCGTGCTGGGAGGACACCGGGGCGCAAGAGACTAGGGGGTTTCCCATTGGCTGGGCGCGAACATGGAAGGAGCCAATCAGAAGCCTTTCCTACTAGGGTGGCTGTGTTATGGAAAAAAAAGGAGGGAGATCCCGGCTAGGGAAGAGAGGGAGGCGTTATAATGCGCATGCGCCAAGTCAGCGCGCTGCTTGATTTGGGTGGGACGAAAGGCACTCGTTGAGGAAAAGTTGGGGAAGTATGCTGTTACCATAGACTAAAAAAGTAGACCGATACTGCTATGATCGGAAGAGGGAGTTTCCTGGTTAATTTTCGTATTTATGCTGGCAGTTACCAAAATACATCATGGATACATTAAGCGTTGTGTTTAAACTAACAAAAAACAAAAAATAGCAGCAAAAGCTGGAATTCAAATGCTTTCTTTCATAAGGATTTTGCTTCCGGATTTCCCCTGTTTTTTTTAGTGTTGTTCAACCACCACAACAAAGATCCGCCTAGTCAAAGCCATGGTATTCCCTGTAGTCACCTACGGATGTGAGAGCTGGACCTTAGGGAAGGCTGAGCGAAGGAAGATCGATGCTTTTGAGCTGTGGTGCTGGAGGAAAGTGCTGAGAGTGCCTTGGACTGCGAGAAGATCCAACCAGTCCATCCTCCAGGAAATAAAGCCCGGCTGCTCATTGGAGGGAAGGATACTAGAGACAAAGTTGAAGTACTTTGGCCACATCATGAGGAGACAGCAAAGCCTAGAGAAGACAATTATGCTGGGGAAAGTGGAAGGCAAAAGGAAGAGGGGCCGACCAAGGGCAAGATGGATGGATGGCATCCTTGAAGTGACTGGACTGACCTTGAAGGAGCTGGGGGTGGTGACGGCCGACAGGGAGCTCTGGCGTGGGCTGGTCCATGAGGTCACGAAGAGTTGGAGACGACTGAACGAATGAACAACAACAACCACCATGTATATAGAGAACCCATTGAAATCCATGTGGACAATAAGAAGGAAAACCATGAAAATGAACAAAATCTGGCTACCAGTATTTAAAAACTCCAAAATCAGGACAGTAAATAAAGAACAACACAAAAAGACTCCAGGGGAATTCCAGACATGAAACAATCAAGGCCAGCTAACACTTCCCAACAAGGATTCCCCCCAGACAGGAAGGAGATATGCTTTGAAGCTGCAGGGACATTCATTGCTAATCAAGGTGGCCAATTGCAACATTCACATTTACCTCCAACAGACAAGAGTTCTTTCTCCCACCCTGGATATTCCACATATATATAAATTACACTTGCCTAGTTTCCAACAAACCTCACAACTTCTGAGGATGTAGGTGAAACGTCAGGAGAGAATGCTTCTGGAACATGGCCATACAGCCCAGAAAACTCCGAAACCCAGTGATTCTGGCCATGAAAGCCTTCGACATCACATTGATTTTGCTTTCCTTTAAGTTCATCCACACTATGGAATTAATGCAGTTTGACACCACTTTAACTGGCCAGGAATGTTGGGAGTTGTAGTTAGGTGAGGCACAAGCGCTTGTTAGCAAAGAAGGATAAAAGGTGTCGTAAAACTACAGCGCCCGGGATTCCATCACTTTGAGCCATGGCAGTTAAATTTATTTATTTATTTATTTATTTACAATATTTCTATCCCGCCTTTCTCGAACCCGAAGGTGACTCAAGGCGGCTTACAACCAGACAGCAATTTGAAATGGCACTAATTCAACAGTGAAGATGCACCCTTAGAGATAGGGAAGAAGTTGCAGAGCGATGGTAAAAGTGGGCATGTAATAGAATAAAAACAGCCAGGAGAAAATGAATCAGGCTCAGGGGAGCTGGGAATGATTAAACAGACCAGGGAATAATGTATCCTAACAAACAAATATAAGTGTGCCCTAATGAACTTTTGCTTATTTATTCTGTTTTATAGCAGTGTCTTTCTGTTCCTGTTAAATTTTCATTGAAACTCTGGTCACGCTTTCCACAGCAAACCCACAGGGCAACACATCCAAGGGTCCACATAGGGATTGCCTTAAAACCCAAATACAAGCAGTCCCCGACTTACAAACATCTGACTGACAAATGACTCAGAGTTAAGAACGGGGTGAGACCACATGAAGTGAGAGAAAACTACTATTCAGAAGGGAAATTCCCACCTGAATGAGTTTTCATGGGAAAAAGGTGTCTCCACTGAAGCTTTCTCACCAATCCTTGTTTCCACAACAAGCCATTTTTTGCAAAATCTAACTATCACAGAGACAGAAAGTGAGATGAAAACTTCTGAACAGGGGCATAGACAGCAAAAGAAACACCACAGGGGTGTCAACCTGTCCCTATGCTATCCAAAGCATGCACATATGTGTGTGTGGAGGTACACTTAAAAATGCACTGCTCCTACTTACAAACAAATTCAGCTTAAGAACAGACCTACAGAACGTATCTAGTTCGTAACTTGGAGCCTGCCTGTACCTGATTCAGGGAGGGATCATGACGGGAAAGACGCCACTGTGAGTGACAGGATCCCAGGGGTTTCGAACTGCAGAAAAGATCCATCGCACACACCCTCTTCTCAACTCCCCTCCATTGAGTTAACTGGATGCAAACCTCATCGGCAGTTTGAACTCATTTTGCAGCAAGTGAAGGATGCTGAGTCCTAAACAGGAAGAGGAGAGAAGAACTGGGGTGTTTTTAAAGTAGTGGGAAAAAATGAGATGCAGAGAATTAATTGGGATTGCCCTTGCCAAGTAAAGAGAGTTAGAACATGTGCTGTGTTGTATATCCTTTCCCATTATATTCAACAGAATTACTGCTTCCTCTTTTGGGCAAACCTGCATAGGTGTGTGCTGCAACAGTCTGGCCCCATCTATAGTGCCGTATGATTCAGTTTGAAACTGTATTGCATGAGTCTACCCTGGACATATAATAGATAGGATAGATAGGACCGAGGAAGTCATTAATACTGGGAGAAGCATATTTGGCACATTTTCTAGAAATGTATTCATGAGTTAACATTTATTTTGTTGACTGATAAAGAAAAAGAAACCATCATTCGAACAGTTTTTCCTGCCTAATGCCGTTCAGATATTTTGTCTTAAAACTGCTAGCAATCCTAGCCAGTATGGCCAATGGTCAGGGATTAGGAAAGTGTAACTGGAAGCCTCATCTACACTGCCATATGATCCAGTTGGAAACTGCATTATATGGTCAGTATATGTCTTTGTTCCTAGCTGAACAAGACAATTCCAACAGTTGCCCTTGTGTACTAAGACAATGCTTATTGCACAAGGAGACACCAGAAACCACCTTGGGCAATGTCTTTAAAGTTACTTACATTGGAGTCAATGAGTGTCATGCCAACCTAAGCCAATAATAGGATTATAACCATAGACTTTCAAAGGGAGTGGCTAGATTTTAGGATGCTGTTGCTTAAGAAACAGGTGACAGCATCTTGACATGCAATCACGTTTTATATCCTTCTTGAGGGGGAAAACCCCCACATAATACACAATTGAAGACAGGAAATCTAAACTCAGTATTATCAATCAAAATGAGAGAAAACTAAACAATCATAGAATCATAAGGTTGGAAGAGACCTCGTGGGCCATCCAATCCAACCCTCTGCCAAGAAGCAGAAAAATCACATTCAAAGCACCCTCAAAATGTGGCCTCTGTTCCACTGCTGAACAGCTCTCACAGGAAGTTCTTCCTCATGTTCACGTGGAATCTTCTTTCTTGTAGTTTGAAGCCACTGTTCCACATCCTAGTCTCCAGGGCAGCAGAAAACAAGCTTGCTTCCCCCCTGCCCCATGACTTCCTCTCACATATTTATATATAGCCATCATGTCCCCTCTCGGCCTTCTCTTCTGCAGGCTAAACGTGCCCGGCTCTTTAAGCCGCTCTTCATGGGGCTTGTTCTCCAGACGCTTGATCATTTTAGTCGCCCTCCTCTGGGCACATTCCAGCTTGTCAACATCTCCCTTCAACTGTGGTGCCCAGATTTGGACACAGTGTGATTCCAGGTGTGGTCTGACCAAGGCATAATGGAGGGATAAAGCAGGACTTCCCTGGATCTAGACATTAGACTCCTATTTATGCAGGCCAAAATCCCATTGGCTTTTTTGCTGTTGCATGACATTGTTGGCTCATGCCTTCTCTTAACTTGTCCACAAGGACTCCCAAGATCTTTTTCACATGTACTGCTCTCGAACCACGCGTCCCCCATTCTGTATTTGCGTTTCATTTTTACCGCCTAAGTGGAGTATCTTGCATTTGTCCCTGTTGAACTTCATGGTGTTCGTTTTCTCACATTTCGATTGGAACTTCAGTTTACAATCCTTTATTTTTATATACAAACACAATAGTAATTATTTCCATATTATTAGTATTCTAATATTTTGTCAAGTTTCTTGAGTTCTTGGAGTCAAATCATTTGCATTCTTTATCTGATTATATAAGGCTCTTTCTCTGATTTCAAAATGTTGACACACTCTTGGAACTCGGTTATTCCTTTTCTTTAAAATAAGGCCCACTGGTCTCAAGGGAAACACATGTCTTTATGGTAGGGGTATAAGTCACCATCTGTATATAATAATTTCCATTACTTAACAATAATGACAGCTGTTGGAAATTTCTTATAATGCTGGTTGTCATTAAAGATTTATTATGCAAGGCAAGAAATTACTATATGAAAAGCAAACAATAATGTCATGTTTGATTATCAAGATGCTGGAAAGGCTTAAGAAAACTAGGACAAGGAGTGATGCCAGCAAATGTGGTGACCAGCTTAAGATACCCTTTCCTCCTTTTCCATCAACCATTACTGAAGCATTCTTAAGTGCAAAATGGTACAATTCTTGTTTTGGCATTACATCAACTGGCAGGATGTATGTTTTAAAAGAAGCCTTGCTAAACTGGTTGCACACTAGATATCACTAACATAACAATTACAACTTTCCCAGTTTCTGCTTCCCAGTTTCTACTGGGACAGAAATTTATGACCTGGTA